AAGAGAAAGAAATTGCTCAAAGGAAGGAACAAATGAGATGAGGGAAAAGAGAAAAGAAAAAAAGAAGGGAAAAATATGTATATAGGTATATGCAGGATAGCTAAGTTGGTTGTACTACTGACTTCCTTTATTGAAAAGAACAATTAATGTTTGTTTGATCAATTTTACATGTCTATATTTGTTTATATGAGCAACCGACCTGAACATATCAATACGTAATACAACCACCACTGTTAATTTCCTATCACCTTGTCTGAAAAATATGTATTACTTTTACTGTTTTTGTGTTATTCTGTAAATGTCTCCATGTCAGTTAACATGTTTTCTTTGTTTTATCTTTAAAATAAAAAAACAAAACCTTAAAGGTTGCACACACATGTGCGCTCAGACACACACACACAGACACATCTGTTATATATACATTTTGCATTGCTGGAGATGGGACCTAGGGACCTCATGCATATAAAGCATACATCATACCAGTAAGCTATATTCCCAACCCCCAAAAAGTTATTTGAATTATAGATAAAATTTGCTGAATTTCAGTATAAAAACAGCATGCAAAAACCAGTTGCAGCTCTACATACTAAGAATGAGCAATTCAAAGAAGTTATTAAGAAAAGAATTCCATTTATATTAGCATCAAAAAGAACAAAATACTTAGGTATAGACCTAACCAAGGAGGTAAGATAAGAGACTCGCACACTGAAAACATCACTCAAAGAAATTTTAAAAACACAAATAAATGGATAGGGATCCAGTGCTCTTGGATTGGAAGACTGGATACTATAAAGATGTCTATGCTGCCCTAAGTGATCTACAAATTCAATATAATCCCTATTGAAATTCTAATGGCATTTTTTTGCAGAAATAAAAAAAAATGTCCTAAAATTCATATGGAATCTCTGGGACTATACATTCTGACATTAAAATATTACAAAGCTACAGTGATCAAAATAGCATCATACTGGCATAAACACAGACAAATAGATCACTAGATTAAATGGAGAGCTCAGAAATAAGCCCTGATGTATATGGTCAAGTGATCTTCAACAAGAATACCAAGACCACACAACTGAGAAAGCACTGTCTCTTCAGTAAATAGTGTTGGAAAAGCTGGATCACAAGCAAAGGAATGTCTTTTTGTCATATATCATGTGCAACACTCAACATGAATTAAAAGCTTACATATATGACCCAAAACCATAACATTCTTAAAAGAGAGGTGGGGCTGTAGCTCAGTGATAGAGTGTTTGCCTGGCATGCATGAGGAATGGGGTTTGATCCCCACTACCACAAAAACAAAAGAAAACAACACTCCTAGAAGAAAATGTAAGGGAAAAGCTTCTTGAAATTAGGATTGACAATGATTTCGTGGACAGGGCACCAATAGCACAAACAACAAAAATAAATTATACAAATGGGACTATATCACAATTAAATTAATTCATTTATCTGTGCTACTGAGGACTGAACCCAAGGCCCTCTACACATTAAGCAAGCACTTCACCACAGAGCGGCATCCCAGGCCTGATATCACCATTTAAAAACGTTTGCCTATCAAAGGGCACAACCAACAGGGTGAAATGAAGACCTACATAATGAGTGAAAGTATTTGAAAATCATATATTTGATGAGGGATATAGAATATATAAAAACTCCTACAACAGCACTCAACCCAATTCAAGTGGGAAAGACTTAGATAATTTTTCAAAAACAATATATAAATGGTCAACAAGCATATGAAAAGATACTCAGCATCATTAATAAATAGAAAAGTGCAAATCAGAACCACGAAGAGATATCACTTTACACCCATGAGGTTGGCTTATCTCAGAGAAATAGAAAATAACAAGAGTTGGCAAGGATGTGGAACAACTGAAAACACTTCACTGTCAAGACAGTAAAAAGGTGGAAAGCAATATGGAAGTTTGTCAAAACGTTCAAAATAGAACTATCATAGGAACCAGCATTCCCACTTCTGGGAGTATTTCAAAAAGAACTGCAAGCAGAGTCTGAAAGAGATTTGCACACTTATGTTCACAGAAGCACTATTCATAACAATTAAATGATGAAAACAACCCAAATACCTATTGCTGGATGAATGAGTAAACAAAATGTGGTACATACATAAAATGGAATATCGTTCAGCATTCTGACACATGCAAAAACATGGCTGAACCTTAAGGATATTATGCTAAGTAAAATAAAGTAGTCACAAGAGGCAAAACTATATGACTCCACTTATATGAGGCATCTAAAGTAGTCCAATTCATAGGAAAAAAAAGGAGAGTGGTGAGTACTAATGATTGGGGGAAGAGTGAAAAGGAGTTTTATGGGTTTAGAGTTCTAGATTTCAAAAATAAAAAAGTTCTAAAGATCTATGCTATAAATGTGATTAACACCACTAAACTGCTCCCTTGAAAATGGTTAAGATAGGGTCTGGGAAGGTGCGTAGCTTAGTGACAGAGTGTGTGCCTGGCATGCATATCTAGGTTCAAATCCCACTACCAAAAAATTTGGTTAAGATGGTAAACATTATGTTTTTTTTTTAAACCACAATTTAAAAAAAACCCAAAATTAAGTTTTCATGAACTAAGATATTTACTTGGTATATTTCTTTAAAATCATGTAGCTGAAATTTCTGCCTTCCTGTATTAAAAAATTGGGCCCCAGAAGTATTAACTAATTTGGGACGTGGCACCAATGTCATCTTATTTTTATGTTACTCCCACTCATTCAAGTTACTCATACTCCCTTACCCTTGAAAAGCATAGATCAAGGGGATGGGGATTTAGCTCAGCGGCAAAGCGCCTGCCTGGCAAGCACAAGGTCATGAGTTCCGTTCCCGGTACCGGAGAAAAACCAAAAAAAAAAGAAAAGCATAGATCAAATTCTCACTGGCATCTTAAAAAAAAAAAAAAAAAACTAACATTTGGGCAATAAATGGGGTTAGGGAAAAGTGAAGAATGTGAGAATAAAAAGGAAATAAAATAGAAAAACTTCGGCCTTTAAAGTGAAATATATTAGGGATCTGTTCTGATTTATTTATTATAATCAGACCTGAAACAATTTCAGGAATTACTTAGAATGTTGCCTAATATGAATATCCAAATAATGTGTGGTAATGAGACATTAGTGACCACTCTTTAACCGGAGATTTTGTTTTTGATTGGCTTGGCTTGATGCTAGGAATTGAACCTAGGGCCTTACACATGCTAAGCACTCACTCAGCCCACTGAGCTATATGTCTTGTCCCTGTAATTGGAGTTGCAATAGTAAGCACTCCCAAATTAAATACTTCATTTCCTCTGAAACTTCTGTCTGTGCTTACAAAAACTTTCATCAGGTGAACAGGCCCGCTAATTTAAGATCTACAGATTATGTCACTCATTTTGAGTAAGTTACTTAGTGGAGGAACAAAAAATGGGTTTTGTTCTGCTATCCCTCTCTATCAGCCCATCCAAAGAAGACATCAGATCATCAATGTAAAACCAAGAAAGGGTAAGGGAGAAAACATTATTAGTAAGTATCTTTTTTCCGCCAATTCTGGGGATTGAATCCAGGGCCTTTACCTGAACTACATTTGATGACTCATTCAAGTACTATTCATTTGTGCTGTGGATATAAAATGCAATAGTAAAAGATAAAGGAAAAATTAAATGACTTGTTCATTATATTCTAATTTGGGTGTTTTTTGGAGTGGTAGGTATCAAACCTAGGGCTTTGCTCATAAAAATGTATTTGCAAAGATATGGCAATATATCACTGGACAATAATTCAAATGAAATTTTTAGGGCCTTAATGGAAGTATCATATCACCTGAAAAAAATTAATATGTAAAATGAATTATAATGTGAGAATCCCTAACAAATGAGACATACAAATTACTTGCTACCATTGTTAGACATGTTGTAATTTTGCATAAGAAATTCTGTGTATACTGCTAGTATAAGTAGGATGGAGCCTTTATATGGAAGTGATGTCTGCATCAGTCATTGCATGTATATACAATAACTGAATCACACATTTTAGAAATATTTTAGATGAAACTGGCAATTATCTGTAGTGGTTAGTATAAAGTCAAGTACTTGCCCAGACAATTAGGATGCAAATAGAGCACCAACACTGAGAAATTCAAACTAAAATTAAATTTTTATTAACAATTTAACAAAATGAAATAAAAAATGCCTTGGGTTTTAAAAAAATCCATAGTGCTATTTAAATTTCTCTAGTTCTTTTGCTAGGATAGACAGACCTATTCTACTAGTTTTAGAAGGCAAGAGTGAATATATA